ACCCTGCTTCAATAAGTATCACTTTATGGCTTAATCTATATCTTTATCCACTCTCAACCCAGATTATTTTGAAACAATATCTCCAGCTTTAACCCAGATATCATGACAATATTTTATTTTTATACAAATGAAAAAAGTTTAACTTCACTGAAATGTTTAAATGAAAAGTTTAACTACCTTGGAAATACTATTTTTCTACTTCTCAGATTGGCAAAGATAAAAACATTTAATACAATCTGTTGGCAAGGGAATATAGAAACTCAAACATTATCCATGACATAAAAAATTGGTATCATCTCTAAGAAAAGCACACTGGCAATAATCATCAAAATTCAATTAACCACAGAGGTCAGCAAGAATTATGACAATGGCATATCAAGAATCTGCTTTCCTTCTCACATCTTACATGTTGATGTCATGCTAACTGCACAACTGGTAGGTGCTGTCAAATGAATGGAACTTAACTACAACTCGTATAAAACAACAATAAAAGCTGCCTTACTTTATTATTTCAAAAAAAAAAAAAAAAAGGCCACCTCCTAACACCCACCTACCCAAACTAGATGGGGTACCTGTGGTTAAATGCTTTCATGACACACTGCTTGTCCTCTATAGCATTTATCATTGTTTCTAATAATATACTTATCTGAGGGTTCTCTGATTAATGCCTTTCTTCCCCTCCATGATGAGAGACCATGTGTGATTTGTTTGGCACAGTGTCTGGTCCACGGCAGATATTCAATATATGGAATTCATTCGTGCATTAAACAAATATTTATTATGGGTCAGCTGGGTACTGTGCTAGATTCTGGAGGTACGCTACTGAACAAGGCAAACTGGTTCTCTGTTCTCTTCCTTTCTAGAGCCAGTCAAGAAATAATCAAATACACACAGACATACACATATACCATAAAAAGAACCTTAATGAACAATGTTCAGTCGGTCTAAAAACAGTTATTACATTTTCCAATACTAAAATTTAGTTTTATGGACGTTAACAGCTCCATTAGGCATTTTCACTTCTGATGCTTTCTTTTGATCAAAATATCTTGAGTAATAATTTAAATTAATTCTTAAATAATGAGTTTATTTTGCAAAATAGAGAAAAAAACAAAACCAACATCCTTACTACCTGAACACAACTACTTTTAGTATTAAAGTATATTTCTTTCCTGTGTTTAGCTTACCATGAATCTTTCTTCAATACAGTGAACACAAAACACGTAATGTTCTCTGCTTTTCACATTTGATGCTTAATATTCCTTCTTCTTTATAGAAGTCAATGAACATTGCAAAATGATCTCAATCCAAAAGCAAGAGAGCACTCCCTGGCAGCCATGGCTCCAACTCATTCAATCCTTTTTGCCCTCTTCAAGACCAACAGTTTTACCAAAGTGGAGCATACCGCCAGCATTTCCCCCTGCAATGATCTTGTGCCTTTTCATTTAAAAGGACCATTTTCAAATAGATGGAGTAGTTGCCTTACACAAGCCAATCATTCTCTTTTCCCACATTATTCTCTCTTCCATATTCTCAACAAGATATCACTTTTGAGAAGAATTCTTTCTTCCATCTCCTTGTCATGCTTTTCTTATTTGTTAAGTATTATAGAACTTCTTCCAGCTTCTTTGAAACAAAAAGATACAAAAATACTCATGAGCTAGATTTTGGAAAATAATCAACAATTAGGCAGCAGGAGCTGAAGAAATTAGTTCTGAACTACAGAGGCTGCAGGCCACATTCATCATATGAAGTTGAAGACATTGCCTGCCTTTCTGTGGGAATAACGGGTAGCAGGTGGTTCTGGTAGATTAGCAAGGCACCTGTTACCCTAATGTTTATCAATAACAGTAGTTGAATATTTTCTTTTAATGGTAAGTGGAGGCTTACAGGCATCGATAGAGTATGAATGAACAGAAAAGTTAAAATATTTCTCCTATAAATAGACAACAGATAGTTTGGGAAATCAAAAACAAAATAAAATAATAAGTGGATCACCAAAGTGATTTTTAAAAGCTGTCTGGGAAAGTATTTTGGCTTTGTAGGAACTGAAAACAAGACAGAATTCACTAACCTAGTTCCTTCTATATTTCTAGCAAAATAGCACGCAACATTAATTCTCTTTACATAAAGACAAATGTGAATGGGCCTGCAATGCATCATAACCAGAATATATTGAATATATACGATGTTGAACAATGAAACTTTTAGGGAAAGTTACAGTAATGGTATCTTGCCTTACAGCAGCATTTACGTATTCATGTTTTGGGATAGGCTGTTTCTTTGGGATGAGAGAGAACATGCATGTTGGGGAAAGAGGATTCATGGTTCTTTTTGCCTATGCTCCAACTTTCTTTAAGAAAAACAAATTTTTGTACCTTTAGCCATAAGATTCCTTGAATGGTAAATTAATAATAATAATAATAATGCCGAGTACTGTGATTTTATGTCTATCTGAAATAAATCTCACTAACACCCTCCTAAGTAAAGTTCGATGCACACAAAGAACCATGCAAGCTTCAAGGGATAATTTGCCAATATCCCTTCTAAAATTCTAATCTTTCAGAAGCAACAATACCAATCACTTTGAAATGACTGTGATTAATTCAAGGGAATTCATTTTTGAGGAGTTTTAAAGCATTTGATAGCACACAACCTCCAGAGACTACCTTAAAATTATCAGTCACATGGAATCCCAGCCCAAGAACTAAATCTTCAATCTTTTAATGAAGTGGTTCACCCCAAGTATTTGCTTTCACTATAATATTTTGTATTTTGTCTCATAATAAATGGTTTTAGTCCAAAATTTTGGATTTATATGCTTTATAAAGTGGGATCATGTTATAAACATGAAACCAAGGCAAGCACCTTGTTCACTTATTAGTGTTCAATACAGCCTGCCTACAAAAGTCTTTTAAAATACTGACAAAAAATGAAACCTAAAGAGGAAAAAAAACGCTGCTGCTGACTAACTCCTCATAGAGAAACATTTAGTATTTCCTCGGGCAGTGTGCTGAATTTCTACCTCTAGTGCTGTAATATCCAGTCGTGAATTCTCGAAGAGGCTTAGGTAATGGAAGAGGAAGAGGTCAAAATCCTATGAAAGACACAGTGCTTTTAAGAGTATTGTAATGAGATCAGCAGAAAAGCCTTGATCCATGCTCTTTTATTTTATTTCCAAAATATACTATAGTAATGGTATTTCCCTATGAAAGTTCAGTATATTCATTTAGGGACTTGCAACAACAGGGCAAATAGCAAACCAGAATTTTAGAGTATCCATTAGTGAGAAGCCAAAGGTCTTCATGGAAATTCAGATACCAGGCAAAGAAAGAAGAAAAGAAAAGTTCAATTTAGAACCATTCCCCAGCTTCTCTGGATCACGACATGAGTGATCAAAGAACATGGAAGTTGAGGAAGATACCAAAAATAAATAAATACATGTATTCCTATACACATGCATTCATGTAATAGTACTTACTGGTACTACTCTATTAAACACCATAATCATATAATCTCATCCAAAGCAAGCAACGCTATAAGACAGGTATTATTTTCCACAGATCACAAACTGGGATACAATGTCAGGACTGCTCTCTAAAATCCAAGCTCATCATACATTTGCTTTGAAACATTCTGTGGTAGGAGAGGGGTAGAGAAGATAGTTTCGTTTACCAACCATAGCACTTCGGAATAAATTTTACGAGGGAATTAATTTTTGAAGAGTTTTAAAGTATAATTAAAAATCAATGTTATTTATATATACAAAAGAAAATAGCAAATGTAAATAGAATACGTTTTTTCCAAAAAATTTAAAGTAAAGCTGGGGAAGTCATTAATACTAAATGAGCTATTTTTATTTCTCCTTAAATTTACCTTCTTTTTTAAAAAAAATTTAAATGCCTTAAGTACAAACAGTAGAATTTCCTTAACAGCATATCAACAAGATCATGACCTTTCTGCACATTGTCTATCACTTCCCAGGAGCTCATACCATTTGAGAAAAAGTGAAGATATGCTTGACTTTTCTGTCCACTTTCATATGTAACTACAGTTTCCACTGGCCTTTTTCCCCCATACCAAATTCCTGCCTTTGTACATGTCTAGTGTATTTGGAGGTTTGGGGGCAGAAGCAGAGGAGAGAGAGTAGGGAATACAGACCCCTTTATAGTGAACTTTTGATCTTCCAGGAAAGCCCCAATTTCAAATATCTTGCTCTACTGTCAGATGACATTAGTCTATTATGCCCTAAAATCTTCTTTGGCAAACATGATCTCCCAGTGTATGATCATCACAGAGCTAAAATCTGAATACAATCTCAGTATTCTCCTGATCTCCCAGTATATGATCATCACAGAGTTAAGATCAGAATACGATCTCAGTATTCTCCTTAAAAAACAAGAATTATAAAATCCAAATCCCATTTGTTGTTTTAAGTGAATATAGGAATTCCTGAGACTGATTTGCCTATTTGCAAATATTACCACACATTAAAGAAGAAAGCTTGAGACAAAGGGAAGACCGTGGATTTTAGAATCAAATGGACTTGTATACAACTCCAAAACGAGCCACTTTTTCTGTGAGCTTGAGCTAATTACGTAGTCTCTGAGCTCCAGTTCTCCTGACTATAAAATGTAAATACTAATAACTATCTCATAGAGTTGTAGTAAGAATTAAATGAGATAACATACATAAATTGTCTTGAACCCTGCTTAGTACTCAGTACATGTTCAGTAATTGCTATGTTATTTCATTCAATTTTTTTATTCATTTGATGTATTTGAATATAGACATTATGCTTTAAAATTTCTCAAGAATTTCAAAATCCAGACAGCTGAATTATGCCTAATCAAGCTGTTTTTACCACTCTGAGTCTGCATGGGTTACAGTATCCCAAATGCAAGAAAATAACTTTAACAGAAGATAAGTTACTTACACCCCACCCTAGAAAATGCCCAATAAATAGAGTTGTCAAAGACACAAACTGCATCCCCACCGACCTTGGTTGGTTCTCCACAGTTAGGGTCTCTCCCCTCTGATAGCCACTGTCTGCCACCTGGGTTGTAGACCTCTTCACAATTTGCTTTAGTTCCTGCTCCAAGCGCTCTTTGATAGCTTTCACTGTCTCTGGGATCTTCTTCAGTTTGGACAGCCCCTTGATAAGGATACCCATAAAAAGGGTGCTGTTCTCCTCTGGATCTAATTCCAAATCCTCCTTGATGTCCTGCAGGTTTATCTCCCTTGCTGCAAAATTTAAAAGAATAATAAAAATAATAATAATAGACACAGATTCCACCATGAAATTCAAAAACAGAGCAGCCTAATAAATGGGATCACTGCTTTGATTACTCTCTTAAAGGAATCAGAAAAGACTTTTCAATTAAATTATATTTGCATAACAACTACCCAAGAATCACAAAATAACATTTATATTCCTCAAATCACATCCATCAGTTAGTAATTAGAGACAGAAGCAATTAAAAACAAATATGCAAATCTTCATGGACAGTTTTCCATAGACTACTACTTCTGCCAATGAGTCTGTTGGTCTATTCCATTATTAAGCACTCACAGTTTATAAAATGCCATACATAGTGCTGCAGGAGAATTCTGAAGAGCCAGACCCTGGCCTCAAGTTCCTACTTAATTAATTTATTAATTAGGAGTGATAAACCGCTATAGAAAAAGACATTATTGATACATGTAACGGGAAAAAAGGTAAATAAGTTAAAGTTATAACAAATGAAAAAAGAGATGAAGAAAATTAAAGGAAAAACAACATATACAAGTAAGACAACATATATAAGTAAGATAAGACTTTGAGGAAAAAGAGTAATAAAGATATATGTCATAAATACAAAGAACAATCTCCTATTTTTCATTAAACATGTGTTTGCTATAAGATCACTGTATCGAAGATAAATCCTGCTAATAAGCCATGGAAGTTTTCTGAGATGTAATATGTCAAAACCCTGTGCAGATCTTTACAATACACCTTTCAACTAAACCATTTGGTTTTGCAATGGAAGAAATAGCCTAAAACAGCGGTTAGTAACCCCTGTGGGGAGCTGGAGAAAGGAAGTAGCTGTGATCTGGTACCTCTGTTATCTACCGGAAGCCACAGGCCTTTCCCTCCAAATAATAAATATACATGTATATGCAAAACTTCATATATCCATATGAATTCAGGGGTTTCATAACTGCCAAAAGAACTACAAGTTACAAACCTCTGGCCTAAAAACAATTCTCTTGGCCAGCCCGGTGGCGCACTGCTACAGTGCGCTGCTTGGGAGCACGGTGGCGCTCCCGCCGAGGGTTCGGATCCCACATACAGACCGGCCGCTCACTGGCTGAGCGAGGGGCGGGCGCAACACCGAGGGTTGCGATCCCGTTGCCGGTCCCGGTCCGGTACGGGCGCGACACTGAGGGTTGCGATCCGTTGCCTCATTTCACAAATGTCTGGATTAAGACAGACAAAAGCAAAAATGAGTACAAGCCTGAAGATGGAGCCTAACAGTTAAAAGTTTGCCCCATCCTCCCCTATCCTCCATCCTTCAAAACAAATGGAAGGTTTTTAAAATACATGATATCCTGAAAGAATGACTGTATTCTTCTTTAGTAGATTTAAGCTCAACTAGACTACAAGATACTCTAAATTATTCAGCACCACTGGAATGGCATTGAAATCTACTTAGAAAAAAATGAAAATATCTCAGTATATGGAGTAAGTTCTTATAACTGAAACATAAAGTCTCTAAAACCTCTATTTTAGATGATATGGAATCCCTGTAAGCTATTCCCCTCAGTCCCTTCTTTGGGGGCTCCCAAATCATAAAATACACTTAAAGAGGATTCGGGGAAGATAGTAGAACAGGAAGCACCAGAAATCTCTGTCGACCTAGACAACAACTGCATTGGTGGAATCTTTCTGATGTAACTATTTTGGGACTCTGGAATCTATTGAAGGCTTGCAATTTACAGCAGAAGGCTTGGATGATAAATTGAAGTTAATTTTGGTCAATTCCAGCTCTGAGCAAAGTAGCAGCTACCCATCTCCCACTCCTCCAGCCCCCTGGCAAGCAGCTGTGTATGTGTTCCTCCAACAATTTGCACACAGCTAGCAGAAGACAGGGTGGACAAAAAGGACTCCGCCCTCCAAATATCAGAGATCTATGCTCTGGTTGCTTCTTCTAATCACAGAGGTACAGGCAAAGAGGCTGGTGGCCATTGTTTTTGCACCTCCTCCAATTGCTCAATCGCTACCCATCTTGCTGAAGTGACTTCCAGAAGATTTAAAGGACCAGTACTCCCTCCCCCCCTTCATTTTTCTCTTTTTCCCCTTTTGGGAGACAGACATTAAAACTACAATGTTCAAAACCAACTTCATATACAGGAAAAATTAGAAAATGATTGTGCATGCCCAGAGAAAAGCGCGAGTTCAGAAAAGACCTGAGAAGACTTTAAATTTACACCCAGGTTGATCCTTGGGATAGAGACAACCTACAATGATCAAAAACAAAAAACCAATCACAATAACAAAAAACCAGCAAAACCTGGGAAAGGAGGAAAATATGATTTCCAGACATGGCCATTTAGCTCAGTTGGTTAGAGCACGCTGCTGATAACACTAACATCCAGGGTTCAATCCCTATACTGTCCAGCAAAAAACAAACTAAAGTTAAATTAAAATTTTAAAAAAAGAGATAAAATCTGATTTCCAGATTCACCACATTATTAGATACAAATGCCCAGTTTTGAACAAAAAATCATAGGACATACAAAGACAGACAAAAATATGGCCCATTCAAAGAAAAACTTTAATCAACAAATATTGTCCCTGAAAAACACTTAAAGGCAGATCTACTCAACAAAGACTTTTTAAAAAGTGTCTTAAAGATGCTCAAAGAACTAAAATGAAATGTGGAAAAGTCAAGAAAATGATGTGTGAATAAAATGGCCACATCAATAAAAAGATAGAAAACCTAAAACAAACTAAAAAGAAATTCTGGAATAACTAGAATGAAAACACTAGAGAGATTCAGAGGCAGATTTCAGCAATCAGAAGAAAGAATCAGCAAACCTGAAGATAGAAAAATGGAAATTATTGAATTTAAGGAACAGAAAGAAATAAGATTGAAGAAAAAGGACCAAAGCCTATGTGACCTGTTGTACACAATCAAGCATACCAACTTATGCGCTGTCAAAGTTCCAGGGGAAGAGAAAGAAAAAAGGGGCAGAGAGGATATTTAAAGAAATAATGGCTGAAAACTTCACAAATTTAATGAAAGACATGAATATAAACATCCAAGAAGCTCAACAAACTCCAGAAGAACTCAAAGGCACCCACAGCAAAACACATTATAATCAAACTTTCAAAAGACACAGAGAATCTTAAAAGCAGCAAGAGAAAAGCAACTCATCACACAAAGGGATCTTCAGATTACCCACAAATTTCTCATCAGAAATTTTAGGGGCCAGAAAGCAGTGGGCTAATGCAAAGTGCTAAAAGAAAAAAAACTATCAACCAAGAATCCTATATCCATAACTGTCCTTCAAAAGTGACAGAGAAATTAGGACATTCCCAGATAAAAGTTAAGAGAGTTTGTTACCACTAGACCTGCCCCGCAAGAAATGTTCAAGGGAGTCCTACAGGTTGAAATGAAAAGACTTAGTCAGTAACTAGAATCCACTTGAACAAATAAATGTTGGGTGGCAGCTACCTTCCTGGTACAGATGGTTGCTACACCTAATGACGACTGCCTGTTCCCTTCTTTGTTCTTCACACATGTTCAGGATGGCGCCTGGAGGATGTAAAGGGGGAGTGACCATGGTGTCGGGTAAAACCTCACCCCATTTACGGGGCTTAACATTATTGGTGCAGAGAGCCTTCCGGGCTCGTGGACACCTCATGATCTTTACTATAAGCATAGGCAGGAGCCATGCATGCACGCATGACCTATAGGGTGATTGGCTTGTTAGGTGGAGACCCCCGCCAGAATCCCCCTCCCATTTATGTATAAATATGTAGGCTTTGAGTTGAATAAATGGAACTGCTTGACAGAACCCCCACCGCATCTGAGTGTCCCTTTGCGAGCTGGATAGGGGCCGGTGGCTGCACTTACTTATCTCCTGGGCTCTCCCTCCCACTCCCTCTCACATGGGGAGAAAGAGGCAGGGGGTAATCTTCGGCCTCGTTCCCTTGAGCCAAGAGTGGTTTAGCTAGTTGTTGGGGTGCCGGCGTGGGCGCCGACTCCCCCTCACCCCGACAAATAAAGATCTCAAAGGTAAATACCTGGGCACTTATAAAAGCTAGTATTATTGTAACAATGGTTTTAAACTACATATTTCTTTTCAATATGATTCAAGAGACTAAAACACTTTTAAAACACAATTATTACTCAAAAAGCTAGCATTGTTATAACTTTGGTTTGTAATTCCACATTTTATTTTCTATATAATTTAAGAGGCTAACACATTTAAAAGAATTATCAGTTTATGTTTTGGGGCATACAATATATGAAGATGTAATTCTGTGGCATCAACAACCAAAGGAGTAGAGAGAGCCGTTAAAGGTGAAGCATTTTTTTATGTTATTGAAGTTAAAGTGGTATAAATTCAAGTTATATCATAACTTTAGGATGTTAAATGTAATCCCCATGATAACCACAAAGAAAATAGCTATAGAATCCATACAAATGAGAAAGGAATTTAAATGTTTCACTACAAAAAAAAATCAACACAAAAGGAGATAGTAATGAAAGATATGAGAGACAAAAAAGCTATAAGACATAGAGAAAACAAATAGCAAAATGACAGAAATCTCTCCTTATCAGTAATTACTAATAAATTACTAATAAGTAAATTAAACTCTCCAATCAAAAGAAAGAGATTAGCAGCACAGATTAAAAAAAAAAAATCACAATCCAACTATATGCTGTCTACAAAGGCACAAATAGATCGAAAGGCACAAATAGACTGAAAGTAAAAGCATGGAAAAAGATATTCCATGCAAACAGTAATGAATAGGGAGGAAGGGTGACTATACTAATATATGACAAAACAGACTTTAAACAAAATAATGTTACAAGAGATAAACAAGGACATTAATGCATATATTAACAAATGATCCAATACAACAAGATGTAACAATTGTAAACATTTACACATACCTAATGACAGACTATCAAAATAAAAAGCAAAAACTTATAGAATTGAGGGCAGAAATAAAGAGTTCTATAATAATA